TTTCTTAATAAAGAAATATTGCTGTCTTTCTCAAATTTCTTGTTTTTTTTTTCTATTTTATTGAAAAAGCAAAACGTGTTTAATAATTATTCATCAAGCCTTAACCTTATTGTTTCCGAAAAAAAAAAACTTTATTTTGAAATATATTTTTAAAGTAATTATGGGGAGGATATTTTCATTAATTTATTTCATTTTTTTTAAAAAAAATACATTTATTGGTCTCTTTCTTAGAAGGGTCACTTATTTTTATTAAATAAAATAGATTATTTTATTTTATTTAATAATGATTTAAATACGTTTTGAGTGTCTGCCACAATTTGATGGGAGAATTTATTTATTTATTTAATTTTGACAAGTTGACATAAATTTCACATCTACAATGAAAGCCTTAGCATAACCAAAACCACCCAAAAGTTGTTAAGGAAATGATGGAGGAACACACAGCACGCGCCGCCGTGCCCTTCCCACTTCACTCCGAATCCCCACACATCTCTCGCCGCGCCACCGCCTTCAACCGCCTCTTCGCCGCCTTTTACGCTGCCGCCATCTTAACTCTGTTTTATTATCACTTAGCTTCGCTTTTCTATCCCGCCTCTTTTACTTCCTTCTTCGTCTCTGTTCTTCTGTTCATCTCCGACGTCGTTTTGGCCTTATTCTGGGCCGTCACTCAAACCAACCGCATGATTCCCCTCCGCCGCCGGGAGTTTCCCGGAAACCTAGAACAGTTACTAAAGAAGGATTCGGACTTTCCGGCGCTGGATGTGTTCATTTGCACGGCGGATCCGTACAAGGAGCCGCCGATGAATGTGGTCAACACGGCGTTGTCGGTCATGGCCTATGAGTACCCGACCCAGAAGCTTTCGGTGTATGTCTCCGACGACGGCGGTTCTGCTTTGACGCTGTTTGCTTTTATAGAGGCGGCGAGGTTCGCCGGCGAGTGGTTGCCGTTTTGCAGGAGAAACGGAGTGGTTGAAAGGAATCCCGATGCGTTCTTCGCTTCAAACAAAGATTCCAACTCTGAGAAGGAGAAGATGAAGGTATTATCGATCTCTTTTCAGAATCAAATTATTTATTTATTTGTTTATTCATTTATTTAAACGATAAAACTTCAAATTTCTCCTCCTATTTACTTGGAAAATGAATTTTATTTTTTTTAGAATAATGGAATATGAAGTTCAGTAATGGAGTGGCAGACAATTCCACGTTCTTGTAACAGAAATGGACAAAATTTTCATATAAAGACAGAAGGATGATGAAATTGTCCTTGATATTTGCTAAAGAAAAAAAAAAAAAAAAAAAAAAAAAAAAAAAAAAAAAAAAAAAAAAAAAAAAAAAAAAAAAAAAAAAAAAAAAAAAAAAAAAAAAAAAAAAAAAAAAATATATATATATATATATATATATATATATATATATATTATCTGAAGGGATTGAAATGATTTTTTGTCTTTTTATATGTAAAAAGATAAATTAAAATATAGGAAGAAAATTAATTTAGTAGATGAATATAAACTAATTTTTATTTTTTAGTTCATAAAAAATTCAACAAAAATATTAATTAAAATGATTATTATTAAATATAATTTGTTGGGGTTTGAATTTCAGATAATGTACGAGCAAATGAAGATGAGAGTAGAAAATGCATTGGAGAAAGGGAAGGTTGAAGATGAATTCATAAATGGAGAAGAAGAGCGTATGGGTTTGGATAAATGGACCAAATCCTTCACTCCTCGCAATCATCCTCCCATCATTCAGGTAACACTCCCATTCCCGTTCACGGTTCACGAGTCTCGGGCATTCGATGCATAGCTTGTTAGATGAACACGACTCTTCACAATGATATAATATTGTCCATTTTGAGCATAAGTCCTAAATTATTCATTTACTTATAAATTCATGATCATTTTCTAAATTAATCGACGTGCCGATTCACTCCCAACAATGTTCAACATAACTCAACTAGATAAGGCGTTATAAATATCAGGTGTTGTCAGAGAGCAGCAACAACAAGGATATGCCGAATCTTATCTATGTTTCAAGAGAAAAAAATGCAGCTTCTCATCACCATTTCAAGGCCGGTGCTCTCAACGCTCTGGTAAGCTCTATATCTCATTCTATTTCTATTCGTTCTCCGTCTCTAATCTCTTTATTCTTTGTGATGGAATAGCTTCGAGTATCAGCTGTAATGACCAATGCACCGATTATTCTCACTTTGGACTGTGACACTTATTCCAATGACCCTCAAACACCAAGCAGAGTCTTGTGCTACTTTTTGGACCCAAAAGTTGCCACCAACTTGAGCTATATTCAATTCCCTCAACGCTTTCATGGACTAAGCAAAAATGATATCTACGCTAGTGAATATAAGCGCTTGTACTTATTCAATCCTGTTGGTATGGACGGCCTGTTAGGCCCTGCTTATCTCGGCACCGGCTGTTTCTTTGCTCGACGTTCTTTCTTTGGAGGTCCCTCGTCATTCGAAGCGCCAGAGCTCTCCAATCTCCACCCAAATCATGTCGTGGAAACACCCATTAAGTGTCGGGAAGTGTTGGACCTTGCCTGTCTGGTTGCGGGCTGTGAGTATGAAACTCACACCAAATGGGGTTCCAAGGTATGGCCGATATCCATTGAAAATGTGAACTGATACTCATTTTGTTAAAGGAGTGATTTTGGGATTTGGGTTTGTTTTGTAGCTGGGTTTTAGATATGGGTCTTTAGTAGAGGACTATTTCACAGGGTATCTACTGCAATCCGAGGGGTGGAGGAGTATATTCTGCAATCCAGACAGAGTTGCTTTCTATGGCGATGCGCCAATGAATCTTCTCGATGCTGTGAATCAAGTGAAAAGATGGGTAATTGGGCTTCTTGAAGTGACGTTTTCCAAGTACAGTCCTGTCACTTTTGGGGTTCGATCCATTGGTCTTCTCATGAGCCTTTCTTATTGCCATAACTTATTATGGTCATTTTTGTTCTTCCCTGTCTCTGTTTATGCCTTCCTCCCTCAATTGGCTCTCATCAATGGCGTCTCCATCTTCCCCAAGGTAAATCCCCAAGTTTTAAACATGATTTGAGTTCGATTTCGTTCGATCTTTAATGGGTTTGAAAGCTTTTAATGTAATTCTCAATGTTTTGCAGGTTTCGAGTCCATGGTTTGTATTGTATGCGTTCCTCTGCCTCGGAGCGTATGGGCAAGACCTGGTTGAGTTCCTGCTCGACGGGAACGCATTGAAGAAGTGGTGGAACGATCAAAGAATATGGAGCATAAGATCGCTGTCAAGCTACTTATTTGCATCCATAGAGTTCTCGTTGAAGTCCCTCGGCGTTTCTGGATTTGGTTTCAATGTCACGAGCAAAGTAGTCGACCAAGAACAGAGCAAGAGATATGAGCAAGAGCTGTTCGAATTCGGAGCCTCGTCGCCGATGTTCGTGCCTATGGCGATGGCTGCGACGATCAATTTGGTGGGGTTCGGCGGTGGAGTGATCGGAATTTGGAGATCGAGGGGCGTGTGGGAGGAATTGTTTGGTCAAATGGTTGTGGCGGGGTTTGTAGTGGCCAATTGCTGGCCGCTTTATGAGGCCATGGCGTTTAGGAAAGATGGAGGGAAATTGCCACCCAAAATTACATTTTTATCCTTCTTCCTAGCTTTGCTTCTTTGTTCTTTTGCTGCTTTTTTGTTCTAGCAAATGGTAGGAAACTCTCCTTATAACCAAGATATTGTGTTTAATCGATGGTATTCATACCATTTATTTAGGTAATGTGGGCTTAGCGTATTGATAATCTTTGTCAAACCGACCATCTATGAAGACTTCGATCTTAAACTTCTAATGAGTGGTTAAATGATAAGTAGAATATACTTTTCGACAATGAATAAATTCCTTGATAACAAGTCATGTATTTTTCAATGATGATGAATTCTAAACGGCTTCGAGAGAATTCGATATACGATGACAAACGATTTCTATTAGTTTATCATATGGGAGTAGAGGACTTCCGACTAGGACTGAATTGGATTAACATTTTGGGTTCGGTTGGGTTAATTTTCTAAATCTAATTTCGAGTTTATGGAAGCGAAAAAGAATTCATATATATGACAAAAATTTACTTATTCATTTGTTCGAGAGAGAATGGTAATGAAGTTAAATCATATTATTTTGGAATCTTTCGCTTTACTAACAATGTTGGCTCACCCGTTTTCTTAGTTTATTTTATTTTTCTTATAAAAAAAATATTTCAATATTTCATATTATTAATACGGTTAATTTTTTTTATGCGAAAAAGTTTTGAAGTTAAAAAATATTCTTACCATTAGTCCATGGATAAAATCACATTTTTAAAATTTTAAAGATATTTTTTTATAAATTTAGCATATTATAAAATATTAACAATTTGAGAAATTAAATAGGGACTATGTGAGAGAAATTAAATAGGGTATGTTTTAAAAACTTTCCTAATTGATTCATTAATGTCTAAAAAAAACATTTGAATCGAATGGACTCGCTGTTCGTGGATAAACACTAAACCTCTCCAACGCAATACTCGAGTAACTGATCATTTTGTAGGTTTTTAGTTGACATAATAGGATTCCAGTCATCGGACGACAAAACCATTGCAAGCTATCCTATCTTTTTTGAAGTATGCTGGCCATTGGAGGAAAAAAAAACAGTTAAAAGGTGAAAAATTGGATGTCCCACTTAAAGTTGAATTAGGTTTATAAAAAAATAGTGAATTATTTAAAATAAAGTTTTTAATGCATATTCTCAGCAGAGGATCAATAACTATAAATTCTAGTTTTAATTTGTTAAAATTAAAAAATGTGTAACATAATATATTATGATATTGATTAATTCCGTTGGTAAATCAAGAAGCTATTTTGAACAAGTTTTTAAACAAAAATATAGTCAAAATTTTTACTCTCAACAATTTGACACAGTATTGATTGAATGGATAGGCATGATTGAAAAAGAAGAAAAATAAAGGTGAGAGAGAAAGGCCAACAAAAAAAGGTCATACGTTGGAAAGAAGTAAAAGATGGAAATTAAATTAACACATTTTGGCACCTATAAAACCACAGGACAGGCTACTCTGTCCACCATCAACACCAACACCGCCATAGTTAAACATGAGCACTGAGGGAAGCTCAAATGGAAGTGTTGTTCCTGATAAGTACAGAGTTTTCTTGCATTTGGAGCCTCCTACTGTTCACTGGAGGCATGGGAAGCCCCCAACTTTTGAAATTGTTAACCAGCTCTTTGAAGATGGCAGAACCAAGGTTCTTTGTTCTTTGTTTCAACACTTTTTCACTTTCCATTCCTCTTTATCTTCGTATCTTCTTCTCACTAAGAGTCAACCAGTTCTTCCCTCTTGTTTTTCTTGAGATGAAGATCGAATCATCGACTTTTACAATAATAATTAGTATTCTCAGATGTCTAGATTTACCGTTTTCTTTCAGCTTTCCAGCCTATAACTGTTTCTTTGTTTTGTGTCTTGGTAGGAGTGGCCAAAAGGATCTCTGGAGGAAACAGTGCAAAATTCTATAAAATCATGGGAGATGGAGCTTTCCCACAAGACTAAATTACAGGATTTCAAGACCATAATCCCTGAAAAGTTCAAGCTTTTTGTCAATGGTAAGTACATCTCTGCATGGTTGTTACATACAGAAATATCTATATATGTCAGGTAAATAAATTTTTTCTTGTTCACAAAAAGAATCTCATATTTCTTTGATATCCATGAATGTTCAGGCTAGCTTACATGCGATCCTCTTATCTAACACAACAATTCTTAAATCATAAAATTAAAATTTGAATTCATGGAAGGTACTATGTCATATAAACGGAGTTTTCTCTGGTATGTAGGAAGAGAGGGGCTCTCAGGAGAAGAAACACTAAGGCTTGGAAGCTACAATGCATTGCTGAAGAGTTCTCTACCAGAGGAGTTTCAGTATTACAAGGCAGACGAAGAATCGTTTGAATCATCTCATGAAGTTTTTAGGGCTTGTTTCCCAAGAGGATTTGCATGGGAAGTTATAGAGGTTTATTCAGGTCCTCCTTTGATTGCCTACAAGTTCAGGCATTGGGGTTTCTTCGAAGGACCTTACAAAGGCCATCTCCCAAATGGTGAACTGGTTGAATTCTATGGCTTGGGAACTCTCAAGGTAAAGTTGAGTTCTAACCTACCAAAATAAACTTGTCTATATCATCTGAGTCAGCAGGTGCAAAAACATTGAACATGACCTCTATTCAAAACTAGTCAATCTACTTGGTGCCTAGACATGCATTTAAAATTAGTATTTTCAATTGAACCACACCTTGAAAAAGTGTGGATGCTACAAGAATATTCTAACAGAACTCTAAAAAGTGTAGCTAGATATAATGCACTACCAAACTACAGAGGATGCCAGAAAATTTGAAGAAAAAAGCACATGCACCTATACATGAAGTTCGAATTCCTTTCAAGGAATTATAATCTTGAAAGTTGGCTGTGTATGATATTTGCACAGGTTGATGAATCGCTAAAGGTTGAAGAAGCTCACATCTACTATGATCCAGCAGAGCTATTTGGTGGTCTTTTGAAGGGGAAAACTGCCTCAGAATCCCAAAAACCCCAAGACAGTGAGAAAGATTCAGCTGCTTCAGTTGGCTGCCCATTCTTCAAACCCAAGGAGTAGTCCAAAGAAAGTTGGTCTGAAATAAGTTGTGCAACCTTCAACAATTTCTATCTATTCTATCCAGGGACCTCTCTACCTTTCTCTTGCTAGATACAAACTCCTAGGTTTTCAATTACCTGCAATAAAAAGTATAGCCACATATGTATCAAACATCTATTTATGGTAATCCTCGCAATGAAGTGTTCCTGATTTAACCATGTTGGTTTGTTTAGTAAGATGCAATATTTCAGCTGAGAGGGATTTTATAAATCATCTACTCTATTCTGCCATAAATATTGAAATGGAAGCTTCTAAGGTTTATATCAGGAGATTTAACAGGATATAGTGAAATTCAAGGCATATAACCTGGGAAAAAGTTGAAATAAAAGGAAAAGTATTGCTATCAATCTTCTTACCGTCAAATTTATGATATGGTAATAAAAGTCACAGGAGTATATAATAGTCTCCCCAAAGTAATAAGGATATTATCTCCAAAAAAGAGTTTTAAAACCCCCTGTAATTCGTAAGGGTGAGGACAGTAGTGGTTACCATGCTCTTCAAACAAATAATATATAGACAATCGTAATTCAACTCGCAAGTAATAAGTAAGAAAATTCAAATGAATTATATATATATTAATTGGAAAACGAAAAAAGCAGAATTGTTACAGTATATCTTGAATTCTTTGGTACAAGAATCAAATTAATGATTGTATAATAAGCTACAACTGACCTAACTCCGAAATTCTAAAAGTTATTGTACAAACATGATTGTGCAGTAAAGATTCGCTTATGCTCCAATTAAACAAAGACCTCACTCCTCCGAAGGTCTGCCTTAGGATCCATCCCATTTTGGCATTCATCCATAAGAGCTATACTTAACATTTCTGTGCAGAACTGATCATCTGGTTTCAGCCACAATGCCTGATTCACAAGCAAGAACAAATGAGATCAGAATCGACTCGTGAATGCTGAAATAAAATATTGTACCCAAATTTTGGTAGTAATGCTCTTTCATTGCTTGATAATTCCAGTACCACAGACTACAATGGCTAGAGTCCGTTCAATTTATTGTTCATTGCATCTGATTTGTTAACTTTAATGTCCCATAAGACAGTTTGAGATAAGTTAACGTAACAGATTGTGGATTATAAAAATAATGATTACGGTTTAACATCATTACTCTATTATGACTGTTGTCAAAATTTCTTTCCATCACAACAACTAAAACTGTAATGGTAATGTCTGAAGGTATACAAACCAGTAAATCAGGACAGGTTAAATCGTAAGGTAAGCATGCAGAATAGAGTTACAAAACTAAAACCAAGTCCATAATAACTTACCTTATGGTAGTATGTAATGGCTGCAGTAAAATGATCCTGCATAAAAGGACAGAAAAATTTATTGTAAGCTTAGACATGAATATAAAAAATGCTTAGAGCAGATATTCTAGGCGTTCCATAACAATCCAAGTCTGCCCCCCCACCAAAGTTACTCCAATTCAGCCGTGCAACTCTGCAACCAAGCAGATCTTCATGAAAATCCTTATGAGTAAGACTATCATCCTAAAGGTTGAGAGCTGTACCTTGTGCTCCGTCTCAGGAGAAGCACCAAGAAGCATAAGAAGAAGACCTACACCAACCCAAGAAGATCATGCACAAGTACAAGAAGGTCAAGATTGCCGTCCTCCAATTCTACAAGGTCAATGACTCTGGAAAGGTGCAGAAGCTCTGAAAGGAGTGACTAATGGCAAGTGCGGCGTTGTGAATTTCATGGCCAACCACTTTGACCACCACTACAGCAGAAAATGAGGTTTGACCTACATTTACTATAATGCTGATGGTGATTAGGTTTCTAAATAATGTTTGATGTTGAATTTATCTAGAATTTCTGCTCCAGCTTGTGGAGTCTAGTTCTTGACATGGATTTTGTTTTCTTAATGTCAATTTTTATCGTTTTTATTAACCCACCCCACCCTAATCTGGTACACCAGGAAAAGAAAGAGAAGATTCAAACCCGGTCCCCCAAAACTGAAACTCTTGAGCAAAACTGCCAAAAGCAGGGTTCGTCCCAGTAATGGATATTAGAGAACATTTCCAACCCATTTAAGGATGCTGATTCTCACAGGACTGAAGCTAATAAAAAGTTGTGCACGCTAAAATTACATTAGAAAACTAAAAATAGCAAACATATTAAAAAACACATTGATAAACAAAAATGAAAAAGAAAAGAGAAGGCTTTAAATATTCGAGTACCTGCAAATGATAAGTATATGCAAGACCAGCATAAGTGCTAAGACTTCTTGTTGACAACGCAAGTGCTTTCTCATAGTATGCAATTGCTTCACGGTACACCCTAGCATAAAAAAAAAATAGGGGAATCGTTTTCAAATGAAAAAAATTAAGCCAATGATATGCAGATATAATATAATCCCATTCTTTAAATATTTACCAACATACTTTAATTTTCGATATGAATGGGCGAGATTAACTACGGTAGGCTCCCACATTTCACTCAAAGGAGATGGAACGCAGGCCAAAGTCTTCTCAAACCACCATGCAGCCTTATTATACCTAATGATAGAATAATACACATATAAGAACAACCAAGACGAAAATGCCAAAAAGTAATAAATTAAAACAATAGAAAAAACCTACAATTTCTCCCCATATCTCTTACCCTATAAATTAAAAGTCAACATTTTTTCGATGATTAACAACTTTACATGAAACAAGACAAAGATAAACCTAGGAGTTTATAATAAAAATAATGATTAGAAGGGTACAAGTATTCTACAGAGTCCAATTTACAGTAAAACATTATCTTTTCTCATGAGAATCTTCTCCACAATTTGAAGGTGTTCCAAGTCCCTCATTTAAATAATTCTAAATCAAAAGTCCCGAAGTCATCACACCTAGTTGTAACCTTCAAAGGATTTCCAAGCATAAGGCATGATACAAAGCACATATTTCTTAATCCCTTTTACTAGACCTGGAAAAAGGAGCCACCACCCTACTGATGGAGCACAAAGATTGTGAATCCACTGACTAAATACATTGTTCACAACTTAAAATCACAATATAAAACTAAGTAACGCAATGAAAAGGGTATGTTTTATTTCGTTGGTGAACTTTTAGGCCAAACATTAATATTAATATACTTCAAAATCACCAATATTGGGAATTAGGAAAAATTACCAATTCTTAGATATTCAAAACTTCATGATCTAAATTACGGGTGAAATGTATGTAATACCATTTTGTGTTGTAATCACAATATATACAGAAATGAGACACGATCTCAGCCAGGAAGCAGAACTTCAAAAAAAATTATTGTGCGAACAAATACAGATATAAGTGAGAGAAAAATATAGATACTCCTTCATGTCATAAGCAACAACTCCAAGCTCATTGTAAACAAGAGGATCTGATGGACAAATTGTCTTCGCCTGCACAAAAAACTGAAACAAGAAAAAACCATTCAAATATTGACATTTTCAGAAACATCAAATGATGAATGGAAGACTGAAAGGGAAAGCCAATGGATACAAGGCATATATGGGATGTCCACTAATAATGAAAGTCAATGCTGTGATATTTCTTTGACCATACTGTCATTCTTAAGACATTTCAAACTAGATTCCATGATGCAAATCTTAAATAATTTTATATTTCTTAGGATTCATCCATCATATAATATGTAGCCTAAAATTTCTGTAAAAGAAAGGCAAAGGTGCAGAATAAGTTTCATCTTCCCCAGTCGCAGCATTAACCAATAAAAGCATTCTTTGTATATCAGGAGAGATTGACTGTGATTTGAAAAATCATACTGACAATACATGGGGATAATAAATAAGTATTCATGCCAGGTTTAGGTAATACCTGCTCAGCAAGCTTAAAGCTGTGGGTTCGCATATATTCCATCCCAATGTATAATGTTGGTAAATGACACCTGGAATAAAATAATATCAAGATTCAACCTGTAGAAGGAATTTTATGAAATAAGAGAACTAGCCAATGAATAACTCCATACATCTTTTACAAAATGATAAAACCAAATTTTCTATCATTTATCATTTAAAACAGATAAGGTATTGCTTAATAACATAAATACTTTCCCACCTTTCGCAGCCTAAATTTAAGAACAAAACATAAAATAACTCAAGAATATTAAATTAATTACCCTGGAAACAATCGAGCGCCAGTGCGATAAGCAGACATGGCTTGGTCACCCTCTTCTTGAGCAGCATAAGCGTTACCATACCCTATCCAAGCAGGTGCAAATGTTCCGTCCAGAGTTGTAGCTTTGCTGTAGCACATACAATAATAAATATCAGGAAAAAAAATTCATATTGGAAATATCAATCTCCTAATTACCAATAAAGTTTATAACACATGAGAAATCGTTGACTTAGAAATACCCGACCCAAGACTTGTAGCAAAAGATACACTTGAATTCACAGACATCTAGAAGACATCAAAATTCCTCAAATCATGGGTCTAATCAGGAAAAAAAAGCACTTGGCAAGCCCTGGAATTGCTTTCTTACTGGAATTCAAGCTAAGATGAAAAAACAAGTCATCAAGAAAAGTTCTGAGTTTACAAAAATATCATATTCTACTAGAATTCAAGCCAATACAGGTCAAGTTGCTCATCAAGACCCTTAAAATTTTTAGACATGTCATTGCAGGTTAGCCATTTGGCAAAGCTTTAGGTACAGCTAGTAAACTATAATATGCAGGATGTCAATTCTAGGTGAAAGAGGTGGCTGGTAGCAATGCAAAGCAATATTTCTCATTCCTGGTCAGGTTCAAAAACTGGGACAATGAAGTTGTCACTTTAAGCTTAATTGTATTAATTAAATGCAACATGAAAGCAACCAATTGGAATTACAAGTGAAGAATAATTATAAAAGGAGCATACAACAGTAACATTCACCTGAAAAAACGACGTGATTGATCATATTTTTTGATACAGTAGTAATAGCAACCGACAGCAAACCATGACAACGCCCTGAGAAGGATATCCCAAATAAGTGATGGACCAATAGCATGGGGGAGTTCAAATGTAAAAAATCGTGGGTGTGGTCCTAACATTTAATAATTTGGCAAAACTTAATAAAATCTACTTCAACCAAGGAAAAATAAATTCTCACTTTTCTATTTGATATTTACTTCCAGTAAAATATTTTGTATGCTCTAACAACTGAAAAACATATAGTTCCAATACACAAGCCACTCACTTTTGAGGATAGTCCTTGACCAGGTTGCATGCCATTAGATAAAGTTCATTTGAATGTCCAAGCTCCATTGCTGCAGCTAAATGTACCAGTGTACTTTTTAAATGGAAGGGATCTTTTTCAAGCAAACTGTAAATGAAAAGAGAAAATAAATAATTAAAAAAATGGTATAAAAAAGGAAAGATAGTTATGACGAAATTCAAGCAATATGTTGATCTAGTTTCCTAGACAGTTATAGACTTACACAGAGGTAAGTTCAAAGCATTTCTGATATTCACCACACTGATGGTAGTATTCAGCTTTGCAAGCTAACAGATCAGTGTTAGTTTCTAGAGTACGAATAAATGATGGATCAGAACTTTTTGAATTACAACTTTCTCTTTCAAGTTCTTTGAATCTCTCTTCAATGATATTTTCTTTATCGTACTGGAGAACAGGCAACAAACAAATTAGTGGGAATTTCACAAGCACGCAAGGAAAAAAAATGGTGCAAATATAAAGAGACGTCCTAACAATTGAAAATGCAGGTAATAGACATTAGTTTGGTATTCATTACTCATAATAAAAGAAAAATAAGCTGCATCCTTCTTACTTTCTTTATTAAGCATGCATAAAATGATGAGAGCCATCCATCTTCAGGACCAAACTGCAATGATGAGAGTAGACTTGATTCTGAAATTCCACATCGTATAATAGAATTAGATTATTAACAATCATATCCAAAGGAGAGAATTAAAATATAGGGGAGAAATTAATATATATATATATATATATATATGAAAAAGTCAAATATTTCATGAATGAACAGTTAACAAAATAATGGATTGTAAAAGCAATATAAATATGTGAGCATGTGGACGCCGATGTATAAGTGCTGTGCATGTATATGTCCGTCTATGTATATGTGTGTGTGTACACACAGTACACACAATCAAACGTATTAAGCTATAATTCTTCTTAAAATCCATAGAGCCGAAATTTACCTTCATCACATGTCAGCATGTGACTTTCTATGAGACACTCCAAAGCCTGGACCAAAATGGAAATGAAAATGGTATATATTAAAAGGAGGAGCCAGAACATAAATCTAAAAAAATTACAACTTTCTTCAAAATTAATGGCTACACCAAAAAGGAAGCTAAGAGATTGATTTTGAAAAAAGCCAAAGAATTTAATTAAACTGCTGATGGTGAAATGTGCACCCATGGTGCAACAGAATCGCTAATTTTCAGCTCTTAAACCACAGCATACAAGAATCGTAACAGAAAGTTAAGACTCCATTTGATAACCATTCGGTTTTTGGTCTGTGATTTCTGAAAACGATGCTTGTTTTCTCAACCTTTCTCAACAATGGTTTTCATTGTTCTTTGAAAAATATTTGAACTTTTAGTCAAATTCCAATAACAAAAAACATGTTTTCAACAACTACTTTTTCTAGTTTTCAAAACTTGGCCTAGTTTTTAAAAACTTAATGCAAAGTAGATGAAAAAAGAAAAAAAAAAATCTCATAGGTGAAAGTAGTGTTTAAGCTTTGTTTTCAAAAACCAAATGTTTATCCTGCGGAGACTCAGTTATATTGATCCAAAAATACCAAAGTTCATAAAAAGATCGTTTTACCTCATAGCATAGAGGGTCAGCTTTGATAGCAGCTTTGTACCTAAACATATTATAAAAAATTAGAATAATAAATGACATCATCCATTCCTTATTTGAAGTTGCATAGTTTTAGCTGAACTATGTAGGTTTTAGGGGAAGGGGGGAAGATAAGAAATAAAAGGACGTCCATGGAAGAAAAAATGTAAACATAAACTCACCAAAGTCGAGCCTGCGTGCGGTTTTCCAGAGCTTCATATGCCTTGCCTCTTAAAAAGCATGTTGCTGCGGCTATCTGTTACAAAATGGGAAACAGAGAACCCGCTGTGAAATGAATGACCGATCTAGGATCTAACCATCGAGAAATTAATTAGGCGAGGTTATTTTTACATGAAATGTTAATTTAAAACAAGTTGAAATGATGTAACAGCACATTACATTAATCTCACGATCCTCACAATCTTTGTCAAGGTACATGCCACTGTGATCCTTGTTATCAAGCACGTAACCATGCTCGTTCACTTTGGCATCACCAAGCATCGCTAGGCATTGGTCCCACTCCTTCAATTCCTCCTGGTCAATCGAAAATTTTGAGAACAAATGAGATTTATGGAAAGCATAAAATTTAGCTACACGCCCCAAAACCTACTAGAGGACTCCATAGTCGATTGCACGGACAGAACAGACACGCCAGGAGTTCAATTTTCATAACAAATTAATGCCGAAACTTTTGCTTCCCCACCTGAAAGGAAACACCTATACTCCGGTATTCATATCGTTCTACTGCCAAAGACTGATCCAATTCAGGCTATTTCCCACTTGAGTACAATTCACAAGAACAGTCACCAATTTATCGAATCGGGCGTACAATGAACACAAAACACAGGTAAACAGTGAAGTTCGGAGTAGCTTACAAGGCACTTGGCAGCGAGGTAACGAAACCGAGGGTCACGGAGGACGATCTTGGAGGCATTGAGGAGGTGAAACGCACGGCGAAAATGGCGTCCAAGAAAGAGGGCCTGCGCCTGCATGTAAATATCCGCAGGGTCCTCAGTGAAAGCGGCGACTTTGTCGGCGAAGAAGATGGCGGAGGAGTAGAGATGCTTGCTCACACAGTCCCTTACTACACCTCGGAGCTTCTCGATTTCTTCCTCCCTCATTCTCAAGGATTTTGATGGCGCAGAAGAATGGAGATTTGTGGAACAGGAGAACTGAAGAGGACGAGTTCTTCCGCTGGCGCTGGGGTTTTGGCAGAGTCGGAGACTAGTAGAGGGAAAATTGAAGAGAGTGGAAAATGGGCGGGAGGCTTGGTTGGGCTTGGAGTGGCCATTAAACATTAAACACACATAATTCCTGATCTTATAATTAAATGGATATTTGTTTAATTCGCGATAATATAATAACATTATACCAACCTAATTTTTAAAACAGCATTATTTTTTTAAAAAAATATAATATTAAAATACAGTATTCCACCCATAGAAATGAGTTTTAACTTACTCTTGACTTAAATATTAACATCATAAATACCCTAAAATTCATGACACTCAAATTTATATTAATCAAAATAAAATATGGATTATCCACCCCATCTATACTGTATTTTAACAAAGTTTTTAAAAAATAATTTGTTAGAGGGCAAAGATGGCTACCCTTCTTCGAGTTCGAGTTGAAGGTTAAGATTACAAAATTTATCTAAGTTACGTGTAATTAAATAAAGTTTAAATTATATAATAAAAATTCATAAAACTTAACAAGTGTACGAACATTCATAGTCGTAATCGATTTTTTTTTAAGTTTATGAAGTAAACATAGTTGCCATAAACCGAGTCTAAATATTTATGTATCTTATTTTAATTGGTTTGAAATTATTTATCAACCATTGAATAATCTTAGACAGTGCTGTATCCAACTACGAAAGAAAAAGGTAACCTTGACATAAAATACATGATGAAGCAATTCATTGAGAAAAATACATGATTTCAGAATATATATATATAGATAGATATAAATAAAATGAAAAAAAAAAAAAAGTTGGGTAAAATTCAAGTAGTAAGATATCTAATCAGCAACTACAAATTGAAGTGAAGCAAAATGATTACCCAATTAAAGAAACAAATCATTAGCCACTCGTAGTTTATGTATAGAGCAGAATATCACATACCTAATTTAAGCAAATTTTTAGAAATAAAAATTATTCTTAAAGAACTTTAACTAAAATTGAGGACATTTACCGTAGAAACCAAACTTGAAACCAGGATTTTTTTTTGGTAGAAGCTAAAATGGACACAACAGCAACCACAAAACAATCATGTGGCTGTTACTCCTCTGTAATACAGCAAGATTGAAGGTCTTGGGGATATCTTCCTTTTCCTTTAACCTCCTCTTTTTTGTTCTCGTCTCTCTTCAAAAGAAAAAAAATTATTACAGTACATAGAATCCAAAATCATTTCGAAAGATTATCGAAGTTAGCTCGAGCAACATTTGATTCTGTTTAAACCCGATTCGTCTTTGATGTTTATTTTCTCCCCCTGGGCAGGGACAGAGGAAGCAGATCCGTTTTCTCCACCTTCAACAGCCTTCTTGCTTACTATGTGATAGATCTGAGTCAGGACCTCGGCGAATGCTTTTTCGACGTTGACTGCTTCCAGTGCAGAGGTTTCTATGAAGTACAGTGATTCCCTCTCAGCGTACGACTTTCCATCCTCGGTTGGAACAGCCACAAGGTGGCGAAGATCAGATTTGTTTCCAACAAGCATCACAACAATGTTGGAATCTGTGTGGTTCTTCAATTCTTTTAGCCACCGGTCCACGTTCTCAAATGTTGCATGACGAGTAACATCGTATACAAGGAGTGCACCAACTGCTCCACGATAGTATGCGCTGGTGATGGCACGGTACCTAACACACAGAAAGCCACACAGATCTGAACAGCTCATTCAATTTTTCTGAAAAATAACAGGTGGATTCTCTGCAAATACTAGTTTGGCTTATTATTGCCGAGTTAATGGCCTACTTCTTCACATTTACCGTGCAATTTATGCCATTATTGATAGACACGATCATAAGATCCGTCCATCAGAGTTTTATTGATGAACGATGATGAGATCTTCTCAACAAAATTTGGAAAAAATTACAACCCCTTTTCCTATTCAACATCACCACAGGAATTGCAATTTACTAATCAACATTCATAGGCTACACGTACAGAGAAAACAAAAGGTAAAATTATAGTTAATGAAAAGCACATCAAGAATAGCAGATCACTTCATTTACTTTGTCAGATGCTAATCTTATGAAGGAAGAGTGCTGTGGAATCATAGGGCAGATACATAATTGTTATGAAGTGACACATTTTTTCAGGGAAAACCAGTACATGCCGTAAGCATATAGTCGAGTAGATGCACTCCATATATAGAAGGTCCAGTTTTTAGGAGAGCTTGAGCTAACTTGAGAAGGAATAAAAGTTCATAACAGTGACAATATAAGCCCAAGAACCTATGACAAAGTTGGACACTCGACGAAACTATCCCAGCACATGACATTGTTTCTCTTTTTAGTAGGAGATTATAAGCTACTTCTAGGTAATACCAGTTCGAGCTTCCCCTAAAATAGGGTATGAAAATCAATGCCACTAGATGCGTTCAATATCCCTACTTGCCCAACACATTATATAAATTTCAATGACATGCAACGAAATCTTTGTCATATGATCTTTTTCCTCTTGTAGGCATCGCAATAAACAGAAACCAAAAAGTAGAGGAGGTACCATACATGAAAGAAAATTTTAACCGATTCCCCATTTGGAAAATAGGAAACGAATTCCTTTAGAAAGAAGCCAAGTGCCTTTGTGCTTTATCGGGGGACAAGGGAAAGAATAATGGGAGGAATCAAAGCTTCCTGTTGCTAATATAAATTATAAGAGATTTATAATAGAAATGGCTCAAAGCACACGATCTACGAAACAGAATCCAAAGTCTTCGCGAACAAGGATCTGCTCAGACAATTCCAAGTCCCCAACTATTCCATTAACTTCTATTAAATGGATTCTTCAAGGCCTGCTGAATCTAACTTTTCTAACCATCACCAAACAGCTTTATTACACAAACAACCGTAGAAATTGAAGAACAAAGCCACAACATCACAGTAAAAATACATCAAAACCAACTTCGCAAGCATTAAACACTCAATTGAACCATAAGAACACAAAATTAAGAAGAAAACACAGTTTATATCGATCAGATCTAGGTTATTACACAACACACTCGGCAAACCGGAACATGCTAATTAACTAAACCACAGAAATCAGGACACTCAAACAGCAAGCAACAACCAGAAACCAAACCACTAACACGCAAATGAACAGGAAGCAAAACCAAGGAGAAGGCGAGAAATCCAGAGAAGAGAAGAAGGAAAGAAAACCTTTCTTGGCCAGCAGTATCCCAAATCTGAGCTTTGATAACTTTACCATCGACGTTCAAGGTCCTGGTGGCGAACTCGACACCAATGGTGGATTTAGACTCGAGGTTGAACTCGTTCTTAGTGAATCTGGAGAGCAAATTGGACTTGCCGACACCGGAGTCCCCAATCAGAACCACCTTGAATAGGTAGTCGTAATCATCATCAGCTCTGTAACCAGCCATTGTTGCTTCGATTTACCTCAAAACTTTATAGATTAAGGAGGAAGAAGAAGAAGAAGAAGAAGAAGAGCAGAGAGGAGGAGAGAGGAAAAATCGAAGAAATGCAGTACTCAAGTGGGGGAGGAAGTGTGTGAAATCAATAAAGGTGGGAAGAAATGGAGATGAAAAGAAAAAAGGGGAAAAAAAGCGGGGGAAGTTGTGAGGGAAGGTCCATGTTTTGCTTATTGTGTACCTGCACGCTCCTTTGATCGGACGTCTCTGATTCATTTGTTGTTTTCCTTTCCCGAAATTTTCATTTTCTGAACAAATGTCCGGATGTGAAGCTTTTTGTCTGTATTTCAATCTTTATTTCCCACAAAATTTAATTTATTTTTGTTAAAAATATATTATTTCAAATCTTTTTTATTTTTAATATAGTTTAAAAAATGTAAAACTTTTCAATAAATTTAATAATATTTCATAAATAAATATAAAATATAAATTTTAAATTAATTTCAAAAAAGTTGAATTCTAATACGTGCAAGAACATCATAAACTTTGTTACGGTTGAATGTCTCTGGCCCAATATCGAAGAGTATTGTAGCTACACGAAAACTCTCGGTCTCATCTATGGGTCTCATAAGCGTCCAAAACTAATACTAGATGACATTGCAATACCAAAAAAAAAAAAATGATATAAAAATGTCAAATTTTGTCTATATCAAAGATTTATATGATTGGATGGTGACGCCTTCGATATAACTATAAAATCTGAGTGTCAATATCGACCTAGATTTCAAACTTTGATTAATCGGCATTACAAACAGATAAAATAGTTTTTTTTTAAAATGGAACACATCAAATAAATTAAATTCAAAGGTATATCCAATAAATTAATTAACAATAAATATATTTTAATAATTTAACTTAATATAAATAAATTAACCAATAATGATTAATTATCTAAAATTAAATAATTAATTAATTAAATGGATGGAAGTAATTTCACAATCTTTCTCGTTATTTTGGGTGGCTAACTTCCTAATACTCCAACATTAACATTCTTTTTACTTTAATAACTGTTTTTTAACGGTCTCCAAATATTTAAAAATCACATTTTGACCCCTTTAAATATTCCATTTTGCATTTTGCGAACGTTCCTAATCTAAAAGGCGCGCTATCGATACCTTCGTGGTACTCTGCAACACTCTGTCTTCGTCTTTGCCGAGTAAGTTTCTCTTCTCACTTGTCTCTCCGATGCCAATCTCCACCGAATCTTCTACTCCCTCCTCCTCTTGCTTCATCGAATGCGCCACTCCGACGATTCCGAGCGTTCAACTGGTGTCGAAATCGGTGTCGGATCGGCTTCTCGGCAAGTTCTTCGACGCCTCGCAATTCGACTTCGATTACGAACAGAGTAGCTTGTGGTCTCCGCCGATTCCGCGGCGGGTTTTTTTGGATTCTCCGCTCGATGTTTGCTCCGGTTATGAGGTACTCTCGAAGCTCGAGAAGGCGAAGACGGCATGGAGGAAATTCGTAATATGTTTTAGAGTAAGTGCTCTCACGATCGCACTGTGATTTTACTCCGTGATTGCTGTGTTTTGTTTTCGTGATTCCGAACTCGAGTTGCTTTAATGAGAAAAAACCTGAGGCTGCTTTAGATTTTTTTTGAGAAAATTTGAAGAAATTGCCTTCAATTTCCATAATGAACTTACTGGCAAAGAATTTTTAGTCATGAATCTGTTTCAGAATAAGTGTATACGATCGCATTGTGATTTACTTTAGTGGTTGCTAGGTTTTCGTTTCTCCAGTTCGAAATCGATTCGCTGTAATGTGTAAGAACTGAGGTCGATTTAGGATTATTTGAGAAAATCGGAAGAAACTGCGTTCGATATAATTGAAACAACTCATTCGCAGCAGAGAATGTTATTCAAGCTAACGAGAAATCGAAGTGAAAAAGAAACGGAAAGACTATTATTGACTTCAGAAATTAGAATCATACATAAACCGATATTATCTCTTTATTGTTTACGAGCATGATTTTCCATTTCTGTCCACGAACACGAACTTCAAAATTGTCTCAACTGAATTATACATCCGATCCTCCGTGGTGTTTATATGCGTGGAGATATGCAAACTATGTTGTTATTGATTGTTGGATTCTAATTAGAAAATTGTGATGTTTATTGCAGGGATTTTGGTGTTCTTGGAATCCCTGATTCGACCTAACAACTTTTGAGCAATTCTCTCCCACTATGCTACAAGGCCCGATTGAGAACGATTGAGGAAAAGAAAAAGAAGAGAAATTAGGTTTTTCTTTTGAGCATTCAGTTAATTGTATTCTTACCATTGAAGAAAGAAAAGAAGAAGAAATCAAAATCCACTAATCTTATATGAATTTAAATTACTTCCATTTGTGATAATCATGGAACAAATAAAGAACATTAACTACAGTTTAGAATTTGAATTTGGTGTTATACAGCGACCCTTCAATCTGAGACAGGCCCAGTACTCCAGCTTGGAAGCGGATATGCCGAACAGAAAAACAAAGGGGAATTTCAGAGCTCTGCAATTGTCTGTGGAGGTAAGGCCAGAATATCTGCCTTTGCTTTTGCTTCTTTTTCTGATTATAATCCTCCTTTTGTCTGTTGTAAGCTTGGATTAGATTCCTTTCAATTTGATTTTGTATTCCTTTTGCTCATCATCATTCATATTCATACATAAATGTTGACAACCCAATTCAGAAAGCTTTTCGTTCTCTGTTTTTTTGCTGTTCTTGAATTCAACCTACGAAATCTTACGCACCCACTTGGACACTTTTTCAGGTAAAGTTTATAGCATTTTATCTCACAAGCTTCCGATGACAAATGTTAACTATATATATATATGATTATAAATATATAACTTTCACATCATTTAAATGTAGTGAATTAAGCAAACATTTTCAATAAACACATAAACAGAGAATAACAATAGTGTCCATTTTGCTTTTTATTTTTAAAATTAGAATTCAAGCATATTTTTACGAAAACTTTCCATTTGCTAGAGTATGATAAAACTTAAATGAACACTTAGACATAATCGATAAAACTTAAATTTATGTTTTTTATATTTGTAATAAAACTTAAATCAACACTTCTACATAATTTATTATTATTATTATTAAAATTGTATGTGTCACTACTTTTGTCTATTGAAAATTGATTTGAACCATTAAAGGGTTTGGTGTTAAATTCAACTTCATATATTATTATATTTATATATAGTGACTCTAAATGAAAATTTCATTAAAATTAGTTGATTCTCTAAAAAATATTAAATTATTTTGAATATGGCAGAATATTTAATCTCTTTCTCGTGGGTAAATAAAGTAGATTTATTGTGTTCTAAATTTTAATGATTATGTTAGTTTTTAAAAAAAATTAAATTTTTTTCCTCTTATATTTATATTCATCATTTTTCATTATAATAAATTTACTTGATGTTAAGGTGATATACCAATTGGTGAAAATGTTTAAATTGAAGGGGAAAAAAAAAAAAAAACATAATCAATAATATAATATTTGATAAAAGTGGAAGTGAGAAAAAGGCAACCAAAACAATCCAAAATTGAGTATACACGTTTCAATGATTTGCAAACCGAAAGTTTCAATAAATCATAATTATTCACTTTAAATTCTAAAGCATTCAAAATTTTATTTATTAAAAAAAAAAAAAAAAAAAAAAAAAAAAAAAAAAAAAAAAAAAAAAACATACCCACACGAAAAGAGAACTCTTTAAAATAATAATAATAATAATAATAATAATGTTGGATATCATCAAAGAATTATTATTTTATTTTTTAGAAAACAACATATTCCCAATCACGAAAAAAATTATGGAGATTGTTTTTAATTAAATTATGTTTATTTTTAACTTTAATCATTTAATCATTCCCCATCCAAGAGAAACCTAATAAACGATAAAATTAATTATCATTTTGTTAAAGAATAATGAAAAAATAAATTAATTATCGAAGTAAATATTGATAAAATGGTATAATATTGAGTTATTAAATATAAAAGTAAAAACCATTCAATTTAAAGGGTAAGAATTATAAATTTATAAAATTTGAAGTGCAATACACAATTTTAAAGAATTGAAAGTACTAAACTTTAATTTAACTAAAACAAATCTATGGTACACTAAAAGCCATCATCATCACATTCCCCAATAAAACATATCTGACAGAAAATAGGGAAATAATAATATAGGCTCGACCTTAGTTGCAAATACTTTTTCCTCAGGGACCATTCTGCAAAAAACAATTGTGGGACCCAAGTTCAACTTATTTTTATTTTTATTTTATAAACAATTAAATTTTGTACCCCAAAGAGAAAAATAATCAAAATTTGTAGCTCACAGAGCATCCAAAGTCAATAACTTTTTTAGATCATATAATTATTTGGGATTTTTATTCCATCTATTTTCAGCCTACTTTTCATTTCTACATTATAATTATTATTGTTTTTTCAATATTATTGTCATCATTATAATTTAATACTTGGTTTGAAAAAACAATATTTATGATATGTAAATTTATTATCTACCTACCTCCCAGCTAAATTTAAATTTTATTTTGGTCCATTTAGTATTATTATGTTTAAATAAGTAATTAATATATTATGTCGTATAATTCATGGCAAAGATTACAACTTTTATAATATTAAACACAAAACTAAACTCTTAAATTGAAAAATGTATCGACCCAAAAAATAATATAGAAATGGATATATGTCGATGGTCACATCCCCTATGACATGACCACGTCGCATATTTCCTATTTGACATATAATTGTTCTAATTCAAGCACGATCAAGTTTATAATATTTATATACAAATTACAATAAGCATTATATAAAGCTGTGGACAAATCCCTCAGAGTTTTCCTAATATTCTAACAAAATTGAGGGCAAAAATTTCAAAGCAAATCAACAAAACATTTAAGGTTGTTCTGTTCCCAAAGAACATGCGGCTAAAACAAAAAGACAGGAATTTTGTAAGCAGAACAAATGCATGCCAATTTGTTACCTTACCAGACAGACACTGTAATTGATCTTTTTAACTGTGATCTACAAGCGTTCTTGATCTTTTTACTGAGGGACCAACTTACCTCACCTCTGTTTTTTTCTGGACAGGTTGTTTTAGCTGATGTTGTTGTTGTTGTTGTTGCTGCTGCTGTGATTTAGAGATATAAACCTGGCATTGTATGACAGTTTTACCAATCTTGAATCCGGGTACGACTGTGAAAGCCACTCGAAGCTCGGGTTCTGTCGAAAGCAACAACACTTCTTCCGTTACCGCTTTTGTATACACCTCGTTGAATCGACATCCCTTGCTTACTTGAAAGATTGACGCCTCTGAGTCGAATGAGAATGCTAAGCAATGCAGTAGCCACACCCATCTAGCCATGTCTGCAAATGTGCCAAAGAATTCACTCTCTGGGATTTCACCTGAACTCACCTGCCTTCTTTGCTTCATGTTTCCAAACAACGACGACTCCATTTTCTGGTGGATCAGCTGCAGATACTTCGCACGGTAGAACTTTGCGAATGTCGATTTCGGCTTCTCATCGATGAGTTCTTTCCATGTTAATGATTTCGCTTCTGTGAATCTCCTGAAGTATAGCTTCTTCTGCTGCTGCTTCTCTGGTAGAGACTCGTTTGGAAGACCGAAATTTGGGAAATGGAACCCCTCGAACATTATTCGGCATACGAATGCCTCGAAAGCGAAACGTTTATGCTCGTCTTTGAAGTAAACTACGTCGGGTTCGATTGCAGACGCAGCTTCACCAATATCCCAACCAGCAGATTTCATCTCATCAATCAACAATTCGACAAAAGTTGTAACGGTTTTAACTGTCTGCCGAAGAACACGAGCGAAGTGATTCGTGTTTATAGCTGAAAGCTGAAGGTTTTCGAGCATAAACAGCGAACCACTTTGATTCATTCTCTTCTCAAGAATCTTATTGTTACTCTTAGCTTCCTCCAACTTCTCCTTAAGAAAGATAATCTCAGAATCCTTAAGTCTCACCTGAGAGTTCATCTTCTTAACAGAAACTTCATAGATTTTCACGACACTCTTCTGCTCGAGAAGCTCAGCCAACAGCATCGCATTTTCAGGCAGAAGATCAAACTGTTTCTTAACGAAACATCGTTTCAATTCCGACAACCTCTTCAACTCCGACACGATTGTTCGATCGGCAGCTTGGATCCCATCAACATCAAATGGAGATTGAGCATATTGCAATTGAGCATAAGCAGCTTTAAGAGCTGTAGTAGTAGCAAACAGCTTAGCAAGAAAAGCCTCCATTGCAGCTCTGTCTTGCTGATCTTCATCACTGCAATCAAAGGAACCCGATTGCTTACCGACATTCTTAGCCACGGTCCGATCGCCTTTCGGGGTTCCACCGATCGGGGAGACTCCGGTCAGCATTCGAATGTGAAGAACTTTGGCAAAAGTACGAGCAAGTTTGGTCTTTTTGGAGGACATGGGTGCCGGTTTAACAGAATCCATGTGCAGAAGAGAGATCAGGAAAGATCAAACCAACAAAAACTGGAAAAACACAAAGAGAGAAAAAGCAGGTTGCTTTAGCACATAGACCAAGACCATTGATGAAGAAGGAGAGCTCTTTTTTGGCACTGTCTTTTTAAATATTAAACCTTTAAATCTCAATCTCTCTGTTTTTCTCTCTCTAAAATATCAAAAAGTAAAAACAGGGGAGGAGAGAGAAGGAGGATCAAAGAGAATTCTCCAAATTCCCAAATCAAATAAGCATTAAGATCTGTGCTTTTTCAAGATATTTTAAAAAAAAATTTAGAAAAGGGTTTTTTTTTTTTTTTTTTCATCATACATATTTAAAAAATTTAATAGAAATTTCAATTTCTTCCCTCTTATGTGACTAATAAAGAACAAAATTAGACATTTTCAAACAATAATAAATAGATTGAAAATATCTATTCAACCAAAAATACTTTGAAAAAAAAAACATAAGATTTCAAAAAATAATAAAATAAAATACATATAGGCATATGCCATTAATTAACAAATAAATAAATAAAAAAATTTAAAAAATAAATCATCTCCTTCATAAATTTTTTAAATAGATTAATAATTCAAGAATAATTCAAAATTCAAAAATTGATAATTAAAAAAAAAAGTTTGGTTCTTTGAAGACAAAATTGTGCGTTTGGAAAGTTCAAAATAAAAACAACTTTTTAGAAAGAAAAAAAAAACATGAACCATAAATTTGATAAAATGCCATAATCAAAATTCAATCAAGAAAAGTCAACGAAAGAGAAAGCGGGACCACGAAGAAACAGCATGGTCCAGGCCACACTTGAACATAACCCTCCGAAGTCGGTTCCGATTCCAAAACCGTGTG